ATGTACCCAACTCTGTGATCATGTGTGTTCTTCCTGTCTTTGATAAGTTCAAATAAGAGTGATTCAAATGTAAATAGCTCCTCCCACTCCCTCTTCTTTCTTTATATACATGTCTGCTTGTCCCTGACTATGTGACCTAATTTTCCCTAAATCTCCTTTCCTTCCCTCCTTTCCCTCAGTGCATTCCTCTTCTCCTTTTCCATTCTTCTTTTAATATCATAAAGACATAACAGACCCAAAGACCCCAGCTTGTGGGATATGAACTCACTCTTTGGTAAAAACTGCTGGGAAAATTGAAAAACAGTGTAGCAGAAACTAGGTATTGACTAATGTAAAATTATCTTACACTTAAAACATAAGGTCAAAATGAGTACATGATTAGACATAAAAGTGGTAATAAGCATGTTAAAAGAACGGAATAGTTTACCTGTCGGATCTATAGAAAAGGGAAGAATTTTTGACCAAATGTGAGACAGAGAGTATTATGAAATGTAAAATGGATCATTTAGATTATATTAAGTTAAAAAGGTTTTGCCCAAACAAAACCAGTGCCGCCAAAATTAGAGGGAGAACAAATACGCAAAATAATTTTTATAGCAAGTGTCTGGTGATAAAGGCCTCATTTGTCAAATACATAGAGAACCAAGTCAAATTTATTAGAATACAAGTCATTCCCCAGTTGACAAATGGTGAATAGGCAATTTTCAGATGAAAATATCAAAGCTATCTAGAGTCATATGAAAAAATGTTATAAATCAATATTGATTAGAGAAATGCAAATCAAAACAACTCTGCGGTACCACTTCACACCAATCAGATGGGCTAATATGACTGAATAGGAAAATGATAAATGTTGGAGAGGATGTGGGGAAATTGGGACGTTAATGCACTATTGGTGGAGTTGTGAACTGATCTAAACATTATGGAAAGCAATATGGAACTATGCCCAAAGGGCAATCAGACTGTACATACCTTTTGATCCCACGATACAGCTACTTGGTCTGTATCCCAAAGAGATCATAAAAAAGGGAAAAGGATCTACATATATAAAAATATTTATGGCAACTCTTTTTGTGGTAGCAAAGAATTGGAAATTGAGATGATGCCCATCAAATTGGGGAATGACTGAACAAGTTGCAGTATATGAATGTATTGGAATACTACTGTGACATAAGAAATGACAAGTAGGTGGAATTTAGAAAAACCTATATGAACTTAATAGTGAAGGGAGCAGAAGCAGAAGGCCATTGTATACAGTAACAGCAAGGTTGTCACAATGATCAACTCTGAATAACTTAGCTCTTCTCAGCCATGCAGCCATCCAAGACCAAGTCCAAAGGACTCATGATGGATAATGTTATCCACAACCGGAAGAACTGATAGCGTCTGAATGCAGGTCAAAGCATAGTATTTTCACTTTCTTTGTCTTTTTCATGTTTATTTTTTTCCTTTTGGTCTGTGTTTTCTTTCACAATAGGAATGATACGGAAATATGTTTTACAGCAGCCCTGCACACTGCAAAAAAATGTAGAGGATATAAGAAAGGCCTGTATAGCATACTGTCCTCGGGCCATGTATGTTGTGCAGGCCTGCTTTACGGGATTGCACGTATGTAACCTATTTAAAATTCTTTTCTTTTTAGGAGAGGAGGAGGAGAAGGAGGGAACTCAAAATTTTTTAAGTGAATATTAAAAATTGTCTTTACATGTAATTGGAAAAAAATAAAATATTATTTAAAAAAAGACGTAACAGAGCCACTCTCAGGCCTTGTCTAATTAGTTTCCCTCTGTGACTCATGTTGGTGATAGAATTTAGAAGGAATACTTCTCGTCATATTAGAATGTAAGCAGTTTATCCTTGTTTGGTCCTTTATTATTTTTCAGTCATGCATTTTGCATTTCCGTTGACTCTTGTGTTTGAACTTTAGTGTTTTTACATAGCTCTGGTCTTTTCACAGGAATGTTAGAAGTCCTTTATTTCATTAAAGGTATATCTTCCCCCAGCCCCTCCCCCAATAGAATTACACTCAATTTTGCTGAGTAAGTTATTCTTGAATGTAAGCCTAAATATCCTTTGCTTTCTGGAACATGGTATTCAGCACTCTGCTCATTTATACTGGTGGCTACTATGTTGTGTATGATTCCGCCTGTAGCTCTTCAGTACTTGAATTTTTTCTTTCTGGTTGCTTTCAGTATTTTTTCTTTGACCTAGAAGATCTGGGTTTTTGCTATGATGTTTCTAGTTTTTATTTTGGAGTTTCTTTCATTTGGTGACCAGTGGCTTCTTTCTATTTCCACTTCGCTGTCAGATTCTAAGAGATTTCTGCAGTTTTCTTTCAAGATTTCATGAAATAGGTTGTCTAGGGCCATTTTCTCAATCATGGCCCTCAAGTAGTTCAGTGATTCTTAATCTCTTTCCCCCCACTCCCTTCCCCCTTCCCAGCAATGTGTTTTCCAGGTTTTTGCTATGGTTTAGATTTTCTTTTGTTGAATTTCTTTTTCCAGTATATCTTTTTGTTTCATGGAATCATTGGCTTTTATTTGGTCCGTTGTAATTTTCAGGGAGTTTGTTGCTTGGGCAAGGTTTTTTTTTTGTTGTTTTTTTTTTAACCTATTGTAACAAGTTGTTCATTCTGTTTCTGATTCTTTATTCCATAGTTCGCATTTCCTTCTCAATTTTTTCCTCCAACACTTATTCATAAAAATTAAAAAATTTTAATCCTTTTTTCCTCTCATCTAGAAATTCTAGTTGAATTTGTGTCCAGGATGTGTTTTTCTCTGAGAATTCTTGTCACCCTAGTATCTTTTTAAGATAGCATTCTCATTTTGTTTGCTCTTTCTTCCAGCCTATTAGGATTTGGGTGTACGCTTGTTCCGTGCTCCCAGGCACAGGCAGGGTCTGATTATTACCTCATTATTAGACCATGGGGTCTAAGATCTGCAAGTTCTTGACTTAGTTTTAGGTCTGAGCAATTTTGGGACTCCTGCTACTATTAGCCAGCTCTGCTGCTTGGCAGTAACAGAACTGAATGCTCCTCTCCATTGGTCTGAGATTCTTGCTCTAGTTTTTGCTGTGCAGGCTCAAGCTGCAAGTTGGGCTACAAGTTGGAACTGAGATCCTGTTCTACTCCAGAGGTTGGAGTCAAATTGTTGCCATTTGCAGTGGTGTAACTCTATGAAATGGAAAATGACCAGGAAGGTTTACTTTTTTGTAAAGAAATTCACTGGCTTTCTTGTCATTAGGTTTTGAAGCAGTTTTGGCAAATTCCTACACATATACATTATCAAGAGTCATTTTGTTGTAATTTCAGTAAGCATGTTCAGGAGTTAGTATTTGAATTTGAAAAAAAATCTGAAACATTCAAAGTGTGTGAAAGTACTTTAAAATATTCAGCACTCTGTTTTCTTTTAATATTGAGAGAGCAAAAAGTAACATTCAGATAGAACTGGTTGAAATTCAGTATAACATAGCTAAAAGGAAGGTATAATGAAGTGTTCCAGATTTTTATTCTCATTTGACAAGCCATTTTGTTGAAATGTATGCTTGCTGCAAGAATTTTAGCCATATTTGGTAATACGTACATCTATACAAGCAGTTATTTTCACTCCTATATGGCAAGATTTACAAATGGACATTCATCATACATACTGAAAAATCACAAAAGCTTATACCCAATATCGATAAAATAGTTTTTGTCAAAAGATGCCAAGTTTCTCACAAATGATATTAAATTGATTTTGAATTTTTAAGAAATGATATGTTCTATAATGATTTTGAATTTATTCCATATTAAAACATAAAATTATGCGCTTTTTATCTGTAGTTCCTATCTGATTTGTAGGCATATATGTTGTAAATAAATAAATACATACATATAAATATTTTTAAATTGTCAAATATGTAAGAATATCTTTTTTACATATTTGTTATATCTAGTTCCTATCTGATTTTAATATGTTGTTGAAATTATTAAAAAAAAAAAAAGAAACATATAAACGTGTAGTTTTCTAGGTCAGTGTGTGGCCTGCAGGAATTCTTATATACTGTGTAGTGGCTCCTGTTTCCATTTGTGTTTGACACTGCCATCTTACAGAATCTACATTATAATAAATTTATGTATGTGTATTATTTTTAAAAAAGTACTATTAATGAATTTGCTTGTAGTATTTTTCTCTCAAAGGAGTGAGTAGTACACTTAAAAATATAAATTATCCATTAAAATTGATGCAATTTGCACATGCATGTTTTGCATTTGTAGCTGAGGATTTTTTTTTCATATCTTAGATGACTCATGTCTCCATCACAACTCTCACTGACACAAAATAGTAGTCACTTATCTATTTTGAGTTTCTTTGAAAAGATTTTGTATCACTAATCAGAGATAGTTGGCTAAACATCATCCAACTGTCTGGTACTAGAGAAAAATTAATCTCCCATCTTAGTCACTCATCCAGAGTTCACAGCTCTCTAGGCTGACAAACTTGTCATACTTCTAACTAAAGACCCTGATAGTATCGTTTTCTGAGCTAGGAAGTTAAAATTACCTTTTACTGATCCCTCCTAATTTAGTACCTTCATTCTGTTTATTTTTTTCTAATGTATCCTGTGCATAGTGTATTGGAATGTGGTTGTTTGCATATTGTTTACCCCTTAAACTATGAGCTCCTTGAGAGTAGGCACCCCACCTTTATTTGTATCTCCAGCATTTAGCACAATGCTTGACACATGGTAGGTGCTTAATAAATGTTTATTGACTATTGACCATACGGTGTTCTTTTGTTGTATGAAATCACTGTTAAGTACTACTTATGGAGCTTAAGTAAATGTTATTTAATAGAAAAATGAGTTGTCATTTATGAAAATTTGGTTTCAGTGGAGTGGGAAAGTGTTGGAAACTACAGAAATTCCAAGAACAACTTCCTTGAAACTGTTCGTTAGTATCAGCTTCATAGAATAAAGGGAACACGCAATTTTGAAAAGTTTGTTTTTTTTCTTAACAGGCAAGTAAAAGACCAAAATAAGAAGGTCGCCAATCTGAAGCACAAGGAGCAGGTGGAGAAAAAGAAGAGTGCGCAGATGCTGGAGGAGGCTCGAAGGAGGGAGGACAATCTCAATGACAGCTCTCAGCAGCTCCAGGTCAGAGCAGAAAGAAAACATTGATTTGGAGGGCAGGGCGGGGATCTATAATGGCCTATTGTTTTTTCTGTGCTTGGGTGTCTTTCTCCAATTCTTTTTGCTCCCTTCCTCCACTGTTGGTGCAGTTGAACTCAAGCCTCCCCTTAGTCCCTATCCTTCTCTGCTCCTTTCCTCCTACTATGTCCTTGATACTTTTGTCACTTCTGCTCCAGCATTAACGTACTCCCTTTCATTCTAGATCTTCTCAAAGTGCTCTTATCTCTTGCTTGTGAAAACCTGGGTCCCTCTGAAAATCACTGCATTCTTGGGCCCCGTCTTTAGTGCTGGGTATTTTCCATGATATATGGACCAGGAGGGGAAGTGAGCATGCTTCTTACTCCATATTGTCATTTACTAGCCCTCCCCTTGCCGCCTTACTTAGCTATCTCAGCTGGCCCCTAGGTTGTTCTTCCTTCTTTCTCAAGAACCTCAGTTTTTAGCTCATGGTCTTCTTTTCTCTTACAAACCTTGCTGTCATATATGGACACTTTATTGATGCTGTAATTTTTTTTTTTCATTTGTAGCTCAGGTTTGTTTTTTGTTTTTCCCATTTCTTCATTAATACCTTGCTGTACCCTCACTCAGATATTGTTTTCCCACTTTATTAACTTCCTCATCTCTTATTACCTCAGTTGATTCCACTTGAGCAGCTGTAGATATGCTTATATGAGAGATCATGGCATCACCCTTACCTGTTACCTCTGTGATCCTAGATTCTGAAATTCTTCTCTCAGACACTAATGTTCTGTTCTCTTTCCTTCTGCTTCATTCCACAAATCTATTTGTTCTTACCAAGGTAAGCACTTCTTTTCAGTGCCTCACTTCAGTCCCTCTTCTCCTCTTTTTCTTTGTCCTTCATCCCTGTTCTAGACTCACTTTCTTTTCCTTTCTCTCCACTAATCCAGGCCCTGTCATTGGTGAGGTCCTTATTAACACTCACCTTGTCCATTGAACAAACTTGTGATTGATCTCCCTGCTTCTGGTCTCTGCCTTTTCCAGCTTTCTTCTCCACGGTTCCCATAATAATCTCCCAGGTTCTGGGACTGTCACTCCCCTGCTTAAAAATCTTCAAGAAATCCCTGCTGTCTTAAGACAAAATATGAACTCTGTTGTTTGGCATGTGAAGCCCTCTACTCTTTCACTTTCCTTTCTAGCTTTATTTGCTTCATACATTCAAATTTCACACAAACAAATGTACTAACCATTCTTTGAACTTGGCATTCCATATCCTTTATCACCCCTTAAACAAACTGTTCAAGGTTCAATTTATTACCTATTCTGGGAAACCTTTTTTGTTCCTCTAAGTTGTTCATGCTGTCACTCCTCAAGTTACCATATATTAACAACAGTAGTAACTGTCAACCTGGCCAAGTTTGTTCTAAGAAAGACAGACAAAATTAGGCTGTATGTTCGTGTTTACTTCTCTCATAGTGGGCGGACATGCATATGAATACATGGGAGTCGTTGGGAAATGAGCTCACTTTGGGGTTTGGCTGCACAGATTATATACCTATAAAGCAAGGGAGTACTCCCTTGTCCCCCTTCCCTTCCTGACTCAGGATGCCTTTGTCAGCCAAAATTATAATTTCCATAGAACAAGAGGGTACCCCCAGGATGTCATAAAATAAGAGTGTCAATTCAGTAATGTCTTAATAAGAGCATGCCCTAAAACAGTAAGAGAAGAGAAATATCATCAATCAAGATAGTATCCAGTTCACGAAGCCTGGTCTTTATCAGTCATAAATTGGAGAATGCTCCCAGTCAGCTTAATTTTGGGGTTCACTCAGAGAGCATGCAATGGATTATGGTATGTTAATTCAGAGTGGGCCAAAATGTCTTTTTCTGGTTGGCCAATCCAGTTTTTTGGCCCTCTTTCAGGTGATGGGGGACTCAAACTGGTGCCACATCTCTGACATTCATTAAGTACTTTAAAGTTTACAAAGGACTTTTCATAGGCTTTCTACTTGGAACTCCTGAAAAACTAATGAAGTAGATATAATAGATGTTATTATTCCCATTTTATAGCTAAGGTTAAATGCTCAAAAGTTTAAATAATTTATTAATAGTCATTTATGTTACACAGCTAGATCATGTCAGAGATAGTATGTGAACCAAGATCTTCTTCTCCATTGACTGAGCCAGGTTGTCTTTTTGTGGATGATGAGCATAATGGTAACTATTATGTTATCTTGAAAATGGGGCAATGGGCATCTATCACATTCCTGCTGTGGTCAAAGAACTGTGCCAGGTGAAGGGTGACTCAGTATCATTAGTACCTGTCAGAGTCTTTTCGTACATAATGAGTGCTAAATGTTTGCTGAATTGTACTAAATTCCTCCCTGCCCTATTAGCAATTTAAAAAAAAAAAAGCTTTACAGGGAAAGGGAAAATTTAATTCTGCTTCCCCTCCTTCTTTCCTTAATCTGCTAGGCTCAGGATGTTGCTCTGGAGTCCTATAATTTAAATCCGTGATCAGCTCTATTGCACTATATACAAGGTGTATTTGTAAAAGTGTTTTGAGTTTTTATGCATTAAATTGTGTGTGTCTCTGACAGAGGGAGAGTGGGAAAGGGGGTTTTCAATGCTCAATTGAAAGCTGAACTTTATTTTTGCCATTTTTTTGGTGGGGTTGGGGGGACCAAGCCTGTGATTTTATAGGTATAGGCTAATTGTCTCCAAAGTGGAGGCTGTGGAATAGAATGATGCCAAGGAGGCTGTGGCTTCCATCTAGGGGGTGGCTCATTACCCATTTAGAAGATAGGAAGAAGAATCACATCCTACCCTCCCCATGATAACCAATTATGATCTTGTCTTTAGTACCACTATACCATGCTCTTCAAATCCCTCTCCCTCTGTTCCTTCTCACAGCTCTCCTTCCCCAGCTTCACTAGGTGTATTCACCTTAGGGCAAGAGAGATCTAATTTAAGTGAACCCAGGCACCAGCACCAGCTTAAAACACCGCCCCCCCCCCCCCCAACCTCCCTCGTCTGCTCCAGTCCATTTGATCACCATAGAGCACTCTGCATTCTGGTATAGTATCTCGTCAGTGACCATTCCCCTTACCCCTTTAACCCCCCCCCAACATATATACATATCTCATTTTTAGTAGCACAGGGTGAACAGGCACAGATGGGCTGTGACTATTATTTCCTACCAAAACCATCCTTCTTTCAAACTTCCTAATTTCCATGTGAGATAATACTTTTAATTCTACCAGGTTCTCAACCTTCTTCTTATTCTCAATTCTCCGTTAATTGAAACTGATCCCTGCAAAGTTACCAAAGATCTCTTAATTACCAATCTAATTGTCTTTTCTCAGTACTCATCCTTATTGCCTTCTCTGCAGCATTTGGCATATTGACCACTCTTTCTTCCAATGTGTACTATTCTCTCTGAGTTTAATGACATTGATCTCTCCTGGTTTTCCTTGAACCTGCCTTGACTGTTCCTTCTCATTCTCCCATTGCTGGATCTTCTTTAATATTACATCCTCTCTCTGTGGACATAATGCCTTGTCTTCTCTATACTTAATCAATTGTTGTCTTTATCACCTCCCATTAGTTTAATTATCAGCTCTATTTAGATGGCTCCCAAATCTGTCTCATGTATCTATATTCAGTCTAGATCTCTCTCTCTCGAATTCAAGTCCTACGCCATTAACTGCCTAGAAGACATTTTGAATTAGATGTTCTTTAAACTCTCATTCAACATGTACACAGTAGTACTTATTATCTTTGCCTCCACACACATACTTCTCTTCTGAATTTATCTCTTACTTTTGAGAGCATCACTATTTTTCTACTCACCCAAGTTCTCAAACTTGGTATTATCTTTGATTCCTTTCTTTCCTTTATCTCACATATGCAGCTGGTTGCCAAACCTTACCATTTCAACCTCTTTCAAATCTGTCCCCTTCTTCACACACGTAGCTGTCACCTTATTTCAGGTCCTTTTCATCTCTTACCTGGACTATTAAGGAGTTTCCTAATTATTCTCTGTATCTCAAGTAATTCAATCCTAATCATCCAAGACTTCTTCCTCATAGCTGCCAAAGTGATTTTGATACAATGACAGGCTTTCTATTGTCTCCAGAATCAAGTATCTTTTTTTTTGCACAAATTTTAAATTATAGTTAATTATTAGTATAGCAATGTGTATATATATTTTATAAATAAGTAAATATATATGTACATATATATAGGAGTTATATGTGCATACTTTTTTTTTACTGATAGAGTTGTATGATCAAAAAAGTTTGGTAACTGCTGATATAGTGAACTTGCAGTAATTTTATTTATGGAAGCAGATCAGATTTGCTTTAGTTAAAGTACTTGTTCAGGGTAAGATAGCCAATATGTGTCATAGGTAAAACTTCAACCCAGGTTTTTGTAACTATATGACTAATATTTGTCTGTTAATTTTGCTACATTATTTTACTTGTATAAGGCAAAAATTCATGTGTAATTCACTGGTTGAGCCTCAACATCATGGTGTTTAAAAAAAATAGTCCTTTATTTATTTGTCCCAAACTCCCATTGAAAAACCTCTGTTTATTAAGTTCTTATGACTTCCCATAGTTGTCAGTTGGTTATATATGATGTGGTTTCATCTGCCATAATATTCTGACACTTGCAATTATAGCTTTGGACTCATTTAGGTTACTTGGAAGAGTTTGCAAAATTTGGGAGAAATTGATGAAATTTGAAGAACAATCTCCAAGCCCTGATTGGTACTGGTTCAGATTGTGTTTCTGGGTAAGAGAAGCAGAATCAAGGACAATTAAAGAGAATAGGAAAGGATTAAGGAAAATTAGAAAATAGAATCTAAGGAGGAAGTTAGAAGGAGAAGATAGTTGGAAAGACAAGACAAGGTAAATTAGAAAAGGTAAGTGAATAATTAGTGTTAATCGAATTGAATGGATTGCTGAGTAGTGTAAAATGGTGAAACCAACAAGAGATTG